AAAAATCGCTGAAACAAATCACATATGTTAACTAAAATTCAACATATACCACATGGAAAATAGGACTAAACTAGCAGAAGAATTAAGTTGACTCCTGCAGAAGGGAATGCTGATATACGCTACCTCGTAAATGATGGAAGGTTGTGGCGGTAAAATTTCCACTGTCACTACGACCACATATGTCTCTGTTACGTAGTCTGGAGTAGATCAATTTTCTCCAACACCCTTCACCAGTTTCCAATAATTTGCCTGCTCATTCGGTCTGAAATTACACGTTCCGGCTGACTTCTATTCTGGGTGACACAGGACTACCACAACCAGCAACTTCCCATGCTATATTAGTCTCCAGAATATGGCCTGAANAATGACGTGCAGCTAAAACATAAGAATGACAAATATTAATTACCTTCTCTATAAGAGAGAACATTGTAAACCAAATATGTACCTAAAATATTCTTTAACAGCCATCAAATTCCATTATAATTTAAATCAACTACTACATCACATTTTCTTATCTTACAATAATAAGTGAAAAATTTCATGCAAACCAAACAGTGAGCATTTTTCCTTCCTTCGTCCAATGGAAGACACATGCATAATTGATAAGAAAAATGACGCCAGCACGGATGGCAGAATAGAAAGAAATTCACGCAGGCTCAAAGAGAAAGCTACAAGCAGGATGAGGCACACAAGCAAGTATCATTTCGAGGATGAACCCATCTGCAACACAACCACATGTACCTTAAACCAAAATTTAGTGCTTCAAAATTAAGTATAAAAGAAGAGAAAAACTAATATAACTCATATAAAGTATTTTGCTGCTCTTCAACTTACCTAAAAAATGATGTTATGGTCTGGCAGTGACATTTCCACTGTCATTCAGATGCACTTGTGCTATGTATCATGACCAGTACTGGATCCATTTTCTTCATATCTCAACAACACAACACAACACATCACTGAAGCATTTCCATATTCATTGTCACATTTGTTTCATGGCAACACATTTCGTATAAGGATGATGCAAAGAACTCCAAGCAGCAATCTCTTTCGAGGTCTTCTAAATCTCCAAGATTTCACCTGAAGAAAAGAATCAGTCACTCAATCCCT